TAGAGATGTGCAACTGGAGTTTTATGTGATCACAACATGCCAATGAAGCTGAAGGGGAAATCCTATAAGACCGCTATGAGACCAGTTTTGCTTTATGGGACAGAATTTTGGTTGACAAGAAAGAACATACCCATAGGATGAGTGTAGCTGAGATGAGAATGTTGAGATGGATGAATGACAAGAAAGAAAGGGTAAAATTTGGATTAAGTACATTCGAGGGAACTTAAGGGTGGCTCCAATAGGTGACAAGATGACGGAAAGACTTAAGTCGACTGGCCATGTGCAGTGCAGACCCAATACAACACTGATTAGGAGGTACAATTTATTTCAAGTGGAAGGCTCTAACAAGGCAAGGGGAAGGCTCAAAAAGACATAAATGAAAGTAGTGAAAAAAATATGGAGACTTATGGTCTCACCAAAGGTGTAGCCCTTGATAAAGCAAAATGGCAGAACATGATTTATGTAGTCAACCCCAAATAGTGGGGATAAGGTTCTGATGATGATGATGATTATGTCTTTATTTTGTGGGAGTTATTTTTTGAAAATATTTTTTGTATCTTTGACTAAATCTTTCATTTTCTAATTCCTACAATTTTGTGAGATAAGTTCTAAAGATTGCTTTAAATTAGTCTTATCCTAATTTGACTAGAAGTGGATATGGGTCAAAGATTCAAAGGATAAGATTCCTAGATTCCTCCCTAAATAATGATGGATGATTTTTAGGATGGATTGCTCAGACTTAATCGTCTCTCACCACAATTCCTAGCCCCTCTCTCCCTTCTCTCTCCTCCACACCCCACTCTCTCTTTCTCCCTTTTTCTCCCTCTCTACTCCATACCCTATTCTCTCTCTTTCTCCCTATATGGATATAGGGGTGGCAAGCACCTATAGAAAGAGAGAAAAGGGGCCCCAAAGGCTCGAAAGGGATCTAGAACACTAATTGTGTAAAAAACCATAGATTTGTGACGTGTTGACTAAGGAAGCTTTGTGACTCAAAATATTCAGCAAGGCTTATAAGATCAAAGTGCATCATCGGCTAAAAAAACAGATGTGGTGTATACTAAGTCCTAAGGTGGTGATCTTATGCAAATTCAAGTAAGGCTGTTTGGCTTTATTTTCAGTCATTCTTTACTTGTTTACTTGTATTTTCAGGATCATTATTTGTACTAAAATTTATAGTCAAAGCTTATTTTTTAATCCTGGATTTTGTCTATTTTATTTGGCAGTAAAAGGAAAGAGATTAGATTGTATTTAGGGTTTTATTTGTTGTTTGCACCAATGTTTTGTGGTACTTGTAAGTGGTATCAGTTACATTAATAAAATAAAAGAGGAAATTTTTTTATTTTATTCCCTTGAATTCCGCATAGCCACTTCTTTCAATCTAAGGGATCAATACGTCTCCTTTGATAATTTCTCTAAAGAACATGGGGTTTTAATGACCAAGGCATTTAACTTAAAAAAAAAAAAAATGTAACTCATATGAAGAAGTAATTCAAGGTTAAGGATGGAGAAAATCTGTGGAGGAAGAAATTGGTGCCTTACATGAAAATGAAACAATGGAGCTGATTCTACTTAAAAGGAAAAATGTGGTGGCTTTAAAATGGGTTGATAAAGTTAAAAGTGGTGGGTTCGAAAGGGATTTATAAAGTAAAACTTAAACGAGATGGAAGTGTAGAAACATTCAAACTGCACTTGGTGGCAAAAGGACACCATGAAGACTATGAAGAAACTTTCAGTCTCGTAGTCAAAGCGCCAACCACAAAGGCTATTCTCGCTTTGGAGTTCATAAATGGATGGGAGATTAATCAAATGAATATCAAAAAATGCATTTCTGCATATATCATCTTTAAAGAAAGAGGCTCACAAAGCACAACCTCTTGGATTTGCTATAACAAGTTCTCTCAACATGTAAGTTGACTGAGAAAGTTAGTATATGGGCTGAAACAAGCTCCAACAGCGTGATTTGAGATTCATGTAATGCAGATTTCAACAATTAAATTAATGATCACACTGGAGAGGTCAACCTCATCATTATGTACTGGAAAGGGTTTTGATAGAGAATGGATGTTCTAGTGATTATCTGTCCCTTAACTAATAACTTATTAATGCAATTGGAGGGAGCCTTCACTAGCTCCAACAGATCCACTAGAACAAACATGAAAACAAACAATCGGATGATGAAAAACTTGTTTGAGTATTTCGATGGGGATATAAGATGGCGAAACATGGTTTATGCACAGAATGCATGTGCATAGTCAGAAACAACTGAGGTATTATAGTTAACAAATAAGGAACACAAAGAAAAACATGACAATTGGAATTTGGAGGGCTCATTGTATGGTTCTTTACAAGGATTGAAAAGAAACAGATCGGTAACCCAGATCGTCCATCTCGAAAACTGGGTCAAATCGACGGATCAGGGATCCAAATCTGAGAATCGGCAGGATCGACAAGGTCCAGCAATAAAAAATTTTAAAAAAATTACTAAAATTTCGTAAAAATCTATTTTTTTAGGTATTAAAAAAAATAGTGGTATTACATTATAGTTTTTTATTATTTTGTTGAAAATACAAAAGTTCTGGGAACCTATCTCATGTCTGAATGGTTTTTACTCACTATATTCATTTTATAGTCCAAATGAAATTTAAAATGCAACTCGCTGCAAGAGAATAGATCTCTCTAAGTCAAATTTATAGTGAAAAAAAAGAAAGTGTATAATAGTTTTGGACCTATTGATTAAATAGAGAGAAAACAAGGATACAACCCATAGTTAAGGGAACCTTTTGGGTAGGGTGATGATCCCGCTCCGGAACCTCGATCCCACGAGTCCTACAAGGGATCTTAATGGGCCCTTTTTTTCAATTTTGGGATCTCGCTCCCAAAAAAAAGGGACCACTTTCCATCCATCAGTGGAATCCAGTTCCATTTCGAAATAGATCCCCGCTCCCATCAACCATGGTCCAAGGTTTTGGTACATTAAAAATCTAGGGTTCCATGTTTGTGAATTCTACTTTCATTAACAGATGATACCAGGTTAGAGATTGCCATAGTCTGAAGTTCCCATTATTTAGGAATCATAAGTTCTATGATGTTAAAACCAAGTCCCTTTTCGCATACAACGAAGTTTCATTATTTTAGATTCTTAATTTGAACTAGGCATAGTTTAGAGTGACCTATGTTTTATTAAATCCTATTGTGTAAGTCATCCCTCTTAGTTGTGAGAATATAAATTTCATTTAAAATCTTATATTTATGATGTCCTATTATTTTAGAGTCTTAAATCTTATTACAGTTGTGAGATGAGAATATATGCTTTGATTTCGAGCTTTAAAAAGCTTATTTTACATCAAAGAGAGAGAGAAAGAGAGAGTAGTTCATCTTGTCATCTTGCCCCTTCGGAGAGCCAGCCTTTGGGAAACAATAGAAGCAAAGGAGATTACATTTGAAGAAGATGAATCTTGGGTGGTAGGATCCTGGGTTGCCAGGGGTTCAACGGGAATGGTGCATACCAAACTTGTGTCATGGCCTGAAGATGTAGTGGACATAAGGAAGACTAACTTACAGACCTACATAATTAACCTGTTGTTATTCACGCAAAAATAAATATATCCATTGTTAAGGGTGGGAGGCACTTGATAAGGGATCCCTGTAAATGGTACTTGCAGACCTTGGGGCTAATCAACTAAGGACCTTGATTCCTATACTTTAAGAATCTCAATATTAAAATAGGAGGAACCCCATTATATGACATACTTAAACATTGATTCCTTAACTACAAGAACTCGTACTAGCTCTACTTACAACCTCATTTTTTTTTATAGTGGAGCTTAAATTCCTGCTAGTCAAAATATCGAACCCATTGACATTAGACCTTGCTCCCACAAACCTAAGAATCTCGCTCTCATAAACCTAAGAATCTCGCCCCTTGTCTTGTTCATTATACGGACGTCGATCCTAACCCCAGGGAGCTTCAACTATAGGGCAGTTCGAGGAATACCGCTCCCGATCCTGCTCCTACCTCCAACAACTATGATACAACCTCACAAATAAATAAATCTATTGTGTAATAATTAATATGGACAAAAATATAGAATTTAAAAACATAAATTTGCAATCATGGTTAAAAATATTAAAAAATGAATAAATAAATTCATACTTGCAATGTGGAATGATTGATAAAACAACTTGAAAATAGATTCTGAAGTGGTACGAGCTAGTGTTATTTTTTAAAAAAAATATCCTATAAGCTAGTACTATTTTTTAAAAAAAATGTTCAACAAAGTAGTATTAGTATCATTTTTTGTTTTTTTAATATCCCAATTAGCTAATACTTTTTTTTTTTTCAATCCCAATGAGCTTAGTTATCCCATGAGCTAATACTATTGGACTGAGTTTATTCACTACAATACAAGGGACAAAGAAGAATTGTCCACATCGAAGAAATGTGGGAGGGAAAGGCCGTATAAAGGGACTTAAACGTTGGTAAGTGGTTGAAGCACGCGATGGCGAAGCCAAGCCACGTTTGATTTTTAACAAGACAACCTATGGGAAAAGCATCACATGTTAGGTTTGTCAAGTTCACCGATGGGGAAATCAAGGGCCACATGTCTAACAATGGAGGCAGCTCGCATACCTTGGTGGGCCATCACTACATGTGCATTGCTTATTGTGGTGGGCCATGGGCCATCACTACACTTTTTTAATTGAAAAAGAAGTTAAGAACCGCAAATTGAAAAATTAGAACATGGGAACCGGTGATAGAACTGGTACAGACCGCTCTGAAACAGCCGGTTCTGGGGGTTTCAGCCGGATACCAATACGTTACATGATCCGGAATGAGCAGGGTAAAATCTGATCTGGATCGGGCGATTCCAATCCAGATAACTGATTTTTCAAAGCTTGGTTCTTTCAAAACTACCATACTCAAATCCAACAAATAAATTTAAGTTCAACAAAATATAGCAGGAAAGATAGTGAACATGAATATATATATAACAGACCTTAGGTGGATGTTCAAACTGAGCAAAATGTTCAACAGTTCCAGCAAGGAGGCCAATACCATCTGCAGTGCATAGAAAAAAGAAATTCAAGGAGGCCAATACCATCTGCAGTGAATAGAAAAAAGAAATTCAAGGAGGCCAATACCATCTGCAGTGCATAGAGAAAAGAAATTCAAATGATACAACATAATTTACAAGGACTTAAACACAATCCAATACAGGTAACATCTAGCCAAATTTCCCACCTTCAGTTAGTGTTCCTTTTCCAAATTCATCCAACAGGCACAAGGATCGTGAACTTGAATGCCTACACGGTATTATGACAATCAATATAGCAGGTAAGATGGATGAAGAACAATATAGATTGTAAATGTAGAAATGGTAGGCATATAGAACCACCTAAGCATCATTCCAACTTGATGCAGATCAATCATAAATGTTGACCTTTCACTTGCCAAAGGCTTGCTTCCCATTGCACAAAATATTCTGCATGACAATAGGTGTCTAAAGAAGTTCGCATGATTTTTTTAATTAACATTATCTAGAACAAACAGAGATATATGATATTTTATTTGTATTCTTATGTGACAAACCTATCAGTCAAGCCTACAGTAGCAGCATCTGCTGGCACAAAGCTTCCAATATGAGAAAGGAAAACAATCAGAGCTACCTGAGACAACAATGGCATTATAAGATTGCCTCATCATAAATTCACAATGAAAAATATTTATTTGCTGCAACTTTTCATGAGATGAAAAAATATAATGACAAACACTATAAAATTCTAAAAAAGTATGAAAGAAAAAGAATGTGCATAACAAAACGCAGGCATGCCACAATCAGTGAAGAGTAAAAATGGTGATTTTTCATTTATGGCTTTTGAGAAGTCAATGAAAAGTCTTTTCTAGAATGTTGCATAGAAATACTGAATTTTCTATCCGTATTGTAGGATAGAAAAGTGGTAGGATAGAAAAGTGAGTTTATATGCCTCATCCTACGGGGACTAGTTCAAGGATCGAATCAGGAGCGAGGAACTGTGAAAGGCTAGAAGGTCCCTTGGCTTGGGATCACCATCTGTACTACAGATTTAGAGATCAAGATCCCAATAAGTTGGGGAGTACTATCCCAACTTCTAGGGATCAAATGTAAGTTCTATAGATCCAAGCTCCATTTGGTTAAAAACAAGGTCCTTGAATGCACTGAACTAGGGTCCCTGGGTAGTTAGCACAATCCACATAACATTATTATATATAATTAATGATTTCTAGAGTATATAAGCGAGCATCCAGAGCAGGATTCACCCCTTGATTGGGAGATCCCAGTGACTACAGCCTCACCCCAATTTGTAAGTCAAAAAAAGATGCAGAAAGGAAATGTGACGAACTAAATCAATCTTTTTCTAAACCTCAACAAATAAAAATCAGCAATAATGGAGAAAAAGCATGGCTGTAAATCAAGCCAAAAGAAGAACTTTCTTCTTGCATAAAAATAAAATTCATTCCAATGCATGATGTGACGTCCCACGTTTTACAAGCATGTAGACCCCTAAAATTAACTTGAGATTCAAAAATACAATTTAAAACTCTAAAATAAACCCTAAACAATACTAAAATTCCCAAAAAACCCCATGAATAGTAAAACATGAACAATACCCATGAATAGTAATACCAATACTATGAATAATATTTGTAAACAGTACCCATGAACAGTAACCAGGGAATAGTAAAGAATAATAATAAAAAATATAAACTAAGTATTGGATAAAAAATAAAAACTAAGTATTGGAGATTAATCCCCACATTATAATCCGTAAAAAAATAATCCTAATAATATAAATAAATGTACACCCACATTAAAAAATAAAAAAGTTAGATTAAATTTTTGAATCACCCAACACTTGATCTCTTTCATTCGCCACTGGTTGGAGAAAACTTGGCCTCAGGTTTTGAAATGAGTTAATACGAATCCTCCCCTCAATACAAGGTTTCTTTCAACTCAAATATTGCACATTGACATTTGGGCTTGATCCTGAGACCTACGAGTTATAGCCCTAATCAAAATACCCATAAAAAAATAAGTTGCTAAGGATTTTAGTGCACGCAGCTATAGTAGTCTACCACTGTGGAATGGAATCCCCTAGTTGGAAACAGGAAACATTAGCCCCACCATTGGTGTGAGAAAAGAGCTCTTTAGCCTCACTGCCACCAGTTGCCTCCTATTTTAACATTAAACCACCACCCCTATCGCAATGATTACCATCACAATCGCTGGCAACTTGTTCTTCATCATCGATAGGAAATCCAAGTTCTTCATTTTCATCAAAAATAAGATCACATCAAAGATAGGATCAACTAGTTCTCTATCAAAAATAGGATCACTACTGAAGATAGGAGCACTATCAAAGATTGGACCATCCATTGATTTAAAGATTAATGAATCTAATTGAAGTTTGGCTCCTCATTGTTCTCTTTCAAAATTATGCTCCCATCAATGTCATTGCACATCAAACCCATTTTCGTAACTTGACATGTCATCAATTCGTTCCCACTTAGACTCGGACTTTAATTCATGCCAACCTCCATAAAAATGAAGGAAGTGGCTATGTGGAATTCTAGGGAATAAAATTCAATTTTTTTTCTTTTCATTTTATTAATACAACTGAATTCCATTTACAGGTACCATGAAACAATGTTGTAAATGAGAAAAAGAACCCTAAATACAACTTGAGATCTTCTCTTTTTACTGCCAAATAAGTATGACTCAATTCAAGGACAAAATATAAACTTTATGATGCAAAGAACTTGAGAAAATAGTAACAATCAGCTAGAAATCAGAAAGAAATTTCTGTCACACACAAGCAATTTTGAGAAAACCCCAAGGTTTTGTCCCCACCTAGGGCTTACGTAGGCTTCTGTTCTTTCTTCTTCAATAGAAGTTTGTTTACCCCACTTAAAATATTGTCTATTTAATGTTTTGGACAATATTTGCCCATACGATTAAACTTTTGAAAAGGTTCTAACTTAAATATAACTTAAAATTAAACAAAAAAAAGAAAAATTATAGCTCTTCTTGTTCTTCTTGGAAGCCCTCCTAGGGTTTTCATGCTCCAAATATGAGGCAAAATTAGGAGAAATTTGTCATTCCTAAATAAGATAGTCATGGCAACTCACTGTGCTCTGCCCGTCATCACTTTAACCTTGAATCCTAACACAAATAATACTCCTGAAAATTACAATAAATAAACCAATAATGATGTAAATAAACCAAGAACAGGCCTGAAGACTTACTTGAGTTTGGCTAGGGTCACCCTCTTAAGACTTGGTACACCACACCCGATTACCTGACCAATGGCTCTCTCTAATCCTATTGGCCCTGTTGAATTCTATGAGTTGGGAAGGATCATCAGGCAATACCTTTTTAGATGTAGGTTTAAAATTACAAAACATGAATAGGGTTTCCTAGACCCCCTTTGGACCTTTCTAGGTCATGTCACAAGTGGCACCTCTATTAGTCTTATTAGAACTGGGCATGCCCCTCTTTTTAATATGCGGGGAGAGAGAGAAGCAAATTAGAGCCATTCATCCCATGAATCATCCATCACGATATAGGAAGGAATCTAAGAACCTTATTCCCTGAATCTTTGACCCATATCCACTTCTACGCATGTAAGATAAGAATGATTAAAAGACATAACAAAAATGTAAAGACATGGGCTTCTTCACTAGGCTTAGAGATTTTTAGAAATTACAAAATGCCCTTTTAAGATTTTTTCACTGCTAAAAATTACTTTGAAAATTCTGAACAATTTTTAAAAAGCACAAAAATATTTCTTAGATTGAAACCAAAAATTCTAAAAATGGATTGGCACCAATAGGTAAAAAAACTTACTGTCAAGGCAATCCACCCAATGCAGTAACCATGGTCCCCAACTATATTCTCGAACCAACCCACCAAGACCCATAACCCACAATTTCATGCAGCGGCTTATGATTAGCTCCTCAAAGCTGATCAATAAATAGTGAAACCACGTAATGCGGGTTAAAGTCTCCCTTCCTTAAGAGCAAGACACACACACATATTACTATAGTGCAAGGGGGACTCTCTCTATGCAAATATACATGTATCCTTTTACATATTACTATAGTGCAAGGGGGACTCTCTCTATGCACATGTATATGTATCCTTTTGCAAGGTTGCTTCCCATTATACGACTGTTATATGTACATGCCGTGTAGAAGCTTGTTGAGGATTTAGTTGTCTCTCTCACAAGCCTACATCCACACACAGGAGACTACAAAGCTCTCCTAGCCTACAAACCATCCTTGGGCATCTCTCTAACCTCAATAAGTGATGACCCTCTAAAAACTCATCTTTAGTAGTGCCATATGACCAGGGCCATAGAATGCTTAACCCAAGATAAATCAACTACCACACACACTCGCACTGAAGTGTATAATCTATTATAATTCTTTATTTACATACTCTCACAAACTTTAAAGGCCACAAATCCCAACAAAAAACCCTCACGATTTGGATCTGCGCTTATAGATTCCTTTTCATTTAGAGCATGATGCTGTTGTTATTGCTTACGGAACAACTGTGTAACCCTGCTGTTGTTCTCGCTTACGCAACAACTGTGTAACCCTCTCCGTCAAGTTATTGATTTCCTTACACAATCAAATCAAATCGGTATCCCTACGGCTAAGACCTCTATGACTAGCCATCACATTATCTAATTGTAAAAATCATACAAGATCAAAAGAAGATAGCCTCGTAATGGAAAGTCCAACAAACATATCAATGCATCTCCATTTAGTGGAAATTAATTTTAAGAAATATTTATTGCACTAACTTGTTTGATGTAAATGCTTTTGCCAGAGTAATTAGGACCAGTAATGATGTTGATCCATCCTGAAATAGCACAGCCTTGAAAGGTTAATATATAAGAGATACAACACAGGCTACTAATATTTGTTTCATTACTTCGCACCGTCAGATATGATCTGTGTATCATTTGGGACAAAAGTGTCAACCGTCATCTCCTGTAACACATGCCTGCAATACCCTTTCAATTAAAACCAATACCTCTACAACTGGATATACAAACATAGAAACTTGGATGAAAATAATTCTTTTCAAAACCTTAAAAATAATCTTAAAAGCAATGCTTTGACTTATCCATGATTCAAGGCAATAAATCTAACCTGCCATTGCGTATATTAATGATAGACTCTTCCGTTAGAAGTGGTCTGACGTAGTTGTATTGTTTTGCAGCCAATGCCAAAGAGAGAATGCTAATAACAAGAAAACAACCAAGAAACAAAAAAAGAGAAAAAAAAAAAAAAAAAACTAGAAGAACGTTACTTAATTTAAGTATACAAGCACATATATGAGTCAAAAAAAGAAACTTAGACTCGAACAGAGTAAATTATTTGCATGTTTTCATATTAATTGAAAGTTGACAATATATCAAAAGATTTGGACTTATCCTCTTGCAATTCATAGTGACAATACCAGTCAAGCTCTGCCGTAAAATTCACAGCCCTCTGTAGATGACCCGCATAATGGTGGATTTGAGAAACCAAGTCTCTTGTAATCGCTCTTTCCATGTCTGTGAAATGAAAAGTATTATAAAAACCATGGATTAACATATACAAGGACACAGTGCATGCGAAAGTTGACAAATATCACATCTAAAAGTCTCAGATGGAGATGAAGATGGATATAAATAACATTCCATAGGAAAATAAAAACCAAATGACATTTGAGAACCATATTTCCACTGTTCACAGAAGGTTAAAAACATAAAACTTACAAATTTTTAAACAAAGAACCTATCCCTCAACTGCACAATGTGTTCTACAAAAATTTAAATTCAGTTGTGACGAAGATTAACTTGGAGAGATACATTTCTCTATACTCTATCACAAATAAATATTGGCATGCCAATATCAGAGCTCAACGTCAAAGCGATAAAATTGGGCCAATAGTCAAAATAAGGTCAATTTTTCAACTATACAATTTCTAGCAAGGACTTTTGGTAGTCATAAATACCCCCTTTCCAACACAATGGTTTTCATTGTAAACTAATAAAACTTAAGGGAAATATGGAAAGAGTACTTATTTTTGTAAGCATTAGCTTAGTTAAGAGCAATAATTGAAGGTGGCACTAAAGATAAAATCCCAATACCAATCTAGTACAACATAAAATAGTGAAACCATAGTATATAATATAAGTATCAAAGGCAGGACCTACTTCTGATTTTAAGCCATCCAATAAGACTGAGGGAGTCACCCAAGAGAATATGAGGTTACATTCAATTAACTAGATCTCCGAGTAGATGATGCTTTCATTAGACAAGGCTTTCTTGATGAGGTATGAAACTAACTCGTTTGTCTTAACAACTTCAGCATCACATGTAATATTAGTAAACTTCTCACAGACAAATTGATAGCCTTCTTCTCTACACCTAATCCTAGAGCTTTTGCAGTAATTGAAGGAGAACCAGTTGTTGCAATCCAAATGTGATTTTTGTGCCTTACCCGATAAAGGTTCTTCATTCATTTTCTAACACTCCCTGCTAAAACTGGAAACCAGGAAAAATAATGGGCAGTACTCAATCAAGAGTTTTATGCTTTGGGTGGCTGATGGTGCTAGATATAGTTCTTACCAGAGGTCACCTACAACACAGAGATACACAATTCCCCATTATATACCTCTTGTGCCATGATGCAGAAGAGACAGTGGAGCATTTAACATTGCCCTTATGCTAGGGCGATCTGAGCATACATTCTGGACCTTTTTGGCATACTATTTCGAAAAAGTTTCATAGGTACACTTAGTTGGAAAGATGTTCATTACTACAGAAGGGTGGGACTTTGTGGGAACATACATTTCCTGCAATCTTCTGGCGTATTTGGTTAGACAAGAACAAGAGAATCTGAGGGGATATACTCCAAAGCTGAATCCATGTGGATTAGAAACATGATATGATTATGCATCGGGCGTTCGCTAGGAAAGATTTTAGGTTCCCTTGAGTAATGGAACTGGTAAGAAGAGAGAAGGTGGTACAGAGCTAGGTTCCAGATCATTCCACTTATACTTTATGAAGTAAGACACCTCTAGGAGTCCCTAAAGGTTGGAAGTTCCATTGGCAAATCAGGTCCATCCATTGTAGAGGGGTTAGCAGAGATCACTTTGGGTTTACAAAAGGCCAATGCGTGTTTGAGATAATAATACAGCTGGAGATATAGCCATCCTCATAGGAGTATGCATTCTAAATATATAGCCCTCCTCATAGGAGTACGCATTCTCTTCCTGTCTCCAAGATAGTCTCCAAGTGGAAGGAGATTCCATATAAAGTTACCCGATGGGCTCAGCAGGTGGCGTTCCCCATGGAAATTTGCAGATATCGTGGAGGGAATTCATGATTTGTGACGAGATAAGTCAGTTCGCAAAGACCTAGGAAAATTTGACATTCTAGGGTTTTAAATTGCAAAATAAGAGATTATAGAGAATGAGAAATGGATGAAGTTACAGTCCAGTATGTTTTTGCTAGAATGATGCAATGCATGTTTGCTCTTTGTTCCTTGAAAGTAGTTATGTAGGTGCCCTTAACATCAATGACACTCTCAGTTCTACAAATTATAGACTATAATACATAATATACTCCATAGATAATACACAATACTATCTTTTAGACACCTCCTCAAGTTGGTGCATGGATGTCAACCATGCCCAACTTGAAACTAAATATGTACTTGCAAGTCTTTCCCACAGCTTCGGTATAGATATCAGCTAGCTGATCTGTCTTCACATCTAAAGTAATATGATCGTACCAATCACTTTTCATGAACAAAATGACAGTCGACCTCAATATTTTTTGTGCACCTATAGAAAAAAAGGTCATATGCAATTTCCATTACAACCTGATTATCATAGTAAAGAGGAATTAGTGAAAAAAGATAAATTTCCATATCATAGAGAAGTGTTCTTAACAAAATAAGTTCACATGTTGCAATAGTAATAACGATACTCAGCCTCTGCACTGGATCGAGCCGCAACATGTTTTTCATTTTTCCTGGTCACAAAATTGTCTCCAATAAAAGTTCTTTGACTTGTGGCAGAGTGTGTATCAATGGGATAGCCTAGCCCAGTCTGCATAATAGGATCTCACTTAGTAGCCTTGAATCACACAAAAAAAATAAGTCGCTCACTAGGAGAGGACTTGAGGTCATGCAAGATCGTGGTGTTAGCATCCTGAAATGTTTGTTGGCCTAGATCTCTAGGATTGAAGGGAGAGAGAGCATGCAAAGATAGAGGCAAAGGAGGCACATTGGAGGGAAAACGATTGGCCTAGATTTTGTTTTTATACATGTATACACATAGTAAGTTACAAAAAACAACTTTGTTCCATGCAATTTAAAAAATGACTAGTCAGTCCTAAACAATGACAAAAACAATACAAAATAAAAAGAAAATTCCACAATTATCCCTAGAACTACATATACAAAAATATACACTCTCTCTACTACCCCTCTAGTTGCATGTATGTCATGCACGCCCAACTTGTGTATAATGTTATGAAGGCGATCTCTATTGGGGTTATGTGGTCATTGAAAGGTCTTATGAGGGCATGTACTAAAATTATTTATAGTGATATGATAACTCCAGTAGGAGTGTGGTCCAAGTTGGACTGTGAGGCATTGCTAATGCATTTGAGCTTTGACAAGCTAGGGCTCACGGTTGATGTCTAAAACCCGTAGCCCTGAGCATTTGTGCACAACCAATAAGGTCCCCTGATGAAGTCAAAGTTGTGCTCAAGGTGGTTGGCCAGGGCACTGGGTGTGACCCCTGTGTGTGGTGGTCGGTCGGAGAGGACAAGGACCAAAATCTTCATCATTACCATCACACGGCATGTACACCAAATAACCGTTCGGGAAGCAGCCCTCTTGATGAGGGTTTGTGTTGTGTACATATACCGAAGTAACCGAACAGATGACTCCCTGCAACACTGGACTGTGTTGTACTAGGATCGTGTCTCCTTCATTTATTGACTGACTTTGATAGTCCAAAATCATGAACCCCTGCAAAGGGTTGTGGGTCATGGAAACTGTTGGGTCAGTCGAGAAGATACAGTGAGATGCGATTTTCTAGAAATGATGAAGTCCTCAATATATTTGTTATATTCTTAACTCTTGGATCCCATTCCCATTAAATCTTCTTAAATATGTTTAATTATATTTTATCTATATTTTAGATAATCAAAATGACTTTTTAGACCTTTCTAAATACTTTATTTTATTGAAAAAGGATTTTTAAATAAGGAAAAAATCAATTTTCTTGATGTATTTAATTTAGAGAGCAAGATAAAATCATTACTGGTTCTATAAAATTATTTTTATTAGTTTAAAATTTAATTTTGGGTGTGAGGGCCTACTGCGACTTCGGGCCCACCACATAGGAGCCCACTAGTGGGGGCGTGGGACCGACATGGCCCTCCATGTGTGGGATACCCCACTTCCTCTTCTTGCCTTTTGATGTTGCTTGTGATGGAAGCCATCCACTTGTTTATAAATTAAGGGAAAGTGTTATGAGTTGGATTTAATTGATTTCAAATAAGTAAGTGTAGAGATTGATTGAAATTAGATTTCCAAAAACATAGTATTTTTTTTACATAATTATTTGATGGGAATAGAGTTAAGAAAACTGGGCAATAATGGTTCCACTTCATTCCTTTAATCATGATGGCTTATCTAAAGAATGAAGGGTTGAAATCTCTTCACCTCACATGTCTCTATTGTCAAAGATCAAGATTAAGTCTCATAATGATGGCAAAACTCTAGGCCCCAAAACCTTAGCCTCTGATTTAGAAATACTCTCTATGGAGAAAATCTCTACACACTTGTGACTAAGTTGGCCTCTCTCTCTAATCACAAAGGCACGTCAGCCACATGATTGTGACTCTCTCAGTGTTACAATACATGGTGTATTCCACAATCCATATATCTCGCATAGTAAATTCCATCATGTCCGACAAATGGCCAACTATCTAGTGGATTCATTAGCACATGAAGACCATATAGTAGGTAATATTTCTTAGTGGGACCAGACCTCAGTGTTGTCGACATGTGTTGTTTGTGTTACTAGTTTATCTCTTCACCTATAGCTGTTGTGTATCAGTTTGTATGCCTTCAGAAAACCTCATGTAACGGTTTCCATTACAACAATTACAAAGTTTACAGTACTCAGTTTCACCATTTGAGCTAGAGAAACTGTCTCACTTTTCTCTTAGCCACATGATTGAATTCTTGTCCCCCAGCAAAATACAAAGACTCACAGAAAATCTAGGCATTCTCATCAGCTGAAAAAGCTAAAATCTAAAGGGAAAATGAAACATCAAATAAAATATTTACAATCATTACCCTTGAAATAAACTATCAGAAAAGACACTCATAGTTTATAGCAATGCGAGAGAACTCACATACTAGAAATTCTAATCTTCAACTTCTAAACAATAAAGAGGACACGGATGGAGAGGGCATAAGATAAAAAAGGACCAGACAAATGCATATAAGGACATCACAAAGAGGAGAAACACAGGAAATTGAAACTACGGACCCAATATTTTATGGTAAAGATCTCCAAGAAGAAGGTCCAACTCTCTTGTCTTTGATGTACGGTAAAAAAATCTTCTTTCAACATCATCCCCATCTGCAAACTGAAATTTTATCAACTGGTTAACAAATTTTTCAAGAATAGTTCTAGTAATCATAAGTGCAAGAACAAAAAAATCACTATCGCAAATACAGCTGACTTACAGCAAATTCAATGTCTGGAAGACTCTCAATGATCGTCTCATCAAGTTTTTCTTCATAAATGCACATCAAATACCCTACACAACAAACTAGAAACAACTAATTTTCCTTGACAAAAAACGTACACAAAACAAAAATCAATATGAAAATGGTTGGATGACCTTAAGGAATGCAAGTGACTACCATCCATATGATTATAAACAATAACAGATAGATATGGCTTCAGGCAATGACTAAGAAATACAGAAAACATGTTTTATACAATTCTCCACATGCCAGCATGATTGTTCAGTGCATTAACTTTGCCTACGCCTTCAAAAATTATCTAAGTCCATCAAAAGGGCATTTTAGAAAAATTGTTCTAAGCATCAAAATGTTTTCATATCATCAATCAAAAGTTTTATCACCAAAATAAAATAGTCAAAATAATAATAAAGTCCAATCCTCAACTTATCTATTGGCTACACGGCCCCTGAATATCCAACACACAAGAAATGATACCTCTATTAATATCTTTTTCATCTCCATGAGATATAATGAACAAATAACCCCTTAGGACTAATCACTCAAACAACAGATTTGAAACAAAGTATCAAATGGCAAAAAAAAATTTCCATGCAAATGCAAAGCAAAACAGAATCATTATAAACTTAAAGCACAGCCAAATCAAGTTCAGGCTTACCAATTTGTTGCACATAAACAATACAACCACTAGGTTTCCTATCATTCATAGGAAGCCGTGTGAGCTCAAGGGACGAGACCTGCAGATATTTACATAAAACTCATTTTTTGCCAGCATCAAACAGAGCAAATCATAGTTTTGAAATCCCACATGAAAAAGAAATAAGCTTCTACCTGCTCCAAGAACTGTGGCAATTCCTCATATATGGTTTGCAACTCATCCAACTAGTACAGTCGAAAGAGATAAAAGATGTTTAGCAACTCATCCAACTAGTACAGTTGAGAGAGAAAAGATGTTTGTGTGAAACACATGAAATTTCTATTATAGTGAACAATCCACAACATCCAGTAAATAGATGTAAAATTGTTTTAAAATTGCATAACTAGAAAGAAGAAAAATAATTAAGCAGAAACTGAGACGAAAGAACCATCAGAACTAGCACCAACTAAAAATCATAACCTTAACGAAAAGGAGTTTTGCATGTAAAACAAAGATCTCATTGTTTAAGTTTAAAGCAATAAATATATGGAATGAATGACACCATTATATATCATACAGTCCATAGAACTCTATTTCACATTTTGAACATAGTATAAGTAAACGCAACCAGTGTTTCAAATACTTGGTAAAAAACCCTTTAAATCTACTTTAGCTATGAAATTGTATCCTTTCTACTTGGGCTTTCTTCTAGTGATGAGGCTTTCAGAATGCATGAGGGAGACCAAGAATTCAAACCAACCATGCTAACCTACCATTTCCCTATAAAGAAGGAAGGAAAGTAGTATTCTTTGTAGTGGAAAAACTGAAAAGTCATGTTGTATTGTCTTTTATTAACTTAATAACTTTTACTATGGAGCCCGGTTTATATTGAAGAAAACAATAAGTGTTCACCCCATTATTGTTAATCTATATACTGATAAAAAACATTAAAAGGGGGATAGATTTGTAAAACTAATGGACCAGAAGATCAAACTTCCGGACCTATAGACAACAGTGATATGGGTTTTTTCGTATAAACCCCAGGTCAAGGGTTTGAATCCTACAATGAATTGAAGATGTTGGAACATGGAACAAGCAACAAAAAAAATATTTCTATCTACAATAGTTGTGAATCAATCTCCCAAACCAGATTTTACATACTTAAAAACATTACTTTTCAAGTGGCAAGGGCATCTAGATTCTACTAACCACACATAGGATAAGAAAGAGAACATGTTTGAAAAGGGCCAATTATGTTAAAGTTATTGCATCAACAGTAGGCTACAGTATCACACATAACATCCTATTTCTCTTCGAACATATCACACAAAACATCAAAAGAGACAGGAAAATGTTGTTTCTCAAACCTCGTCACAAAATCCTTGTTTGATGAAAGTCCCACACTCTTTCTTGCTTCTACTGACATCAATTACTCCACTAACCTGAAGAAAACCAACTCGAATTAATGCAAAATGTAAGTAAGTTACCCATGCAAAACCATCGTTTAACTACTTTACTCATGAATCATACAGGAAAGTGCTCAGAACAAATTACTTTTCTATTGCAAAGTGTTCCAATAAAGTAACAATACCACTTCAAGTACGTATGGACATATCAAATTTGCCAGTACAATTTAACTATTTTGTCATATTAGCATGTAAATACAATAGATATGCAAGCCTCAGATTCACAGAGTACATTACTACGTTATAAAACATTTTCATGTGGAATTGACAATCGGTGAACTAGTGTTGGAATAGTATAATAGGACATCGAAATTTCAAGGTGCAAGGGCAACACTTTTCATCACAAAGAATGTTGAATGCTCTAGTTTACTATTCGTCGAAACCTGAGTAGAAAGGTATGACCAAGGTTAATATTAGCATTTGGTTTGCTCCAGTCATAGTTTCACTAACCAAGAGAAGACAATGCATTTGGAATTTGTGAAGTGGCCAAGCCTTAATGCAATGAAATGGAGCCCATACAGTGGTAATTTGATCCAATACTCGTAAAAACCATAAGTTCTCCATATCAATAAATAACTCAATACATTCCATCTGAAGGGTTACAAGGATTGCATGTTATTTGAATCTTAATATAGGAAACTATCAACCTTTTTATCTCATACGAAAACCTTCATGAAAAACAGCATAAGCCAACAAATTGTCAAAAAAGTTTTAAATAGAGAGAGGTGGGCAACCGGAGGACTAAAATTGACAATGAGAAAAAAGAGAAGAAGCCCCTTCTTCCACAAGTGAAAGACAAAGGGAATATCAAAGGAGTTAACCTTGTCAAAGATTGGATTATTTTGTCTATACGTTATTTCTTATGGGTCATGTGCAATTCTTGTTTTTCTTTATCAACTTAAGGACATTAGTTACATTAGGGCTACATATAGGGGCATTTTTGTAATTTGTAAAGCCATTTATTATTATAAATGAGTATGAGAGGTGCATGGAGGCTACATGCTCCAGCCATCTCTCCCAATTCTGTTCACACGCACTATTCTCTCTTCTCTCAAGCCCCTCCATCTCTTTCTCCAGTCTTCTTCTTGTAGCAACTTTTTCAACATGGTGTCAGAACAAGATCCTTATAGGTGAACTGATCCTCTTACCTTGTTTTTCCTTCGAGGAAAAAGAAAGGAAGGGGGAAACCATATTTTTGCTAGTGATGATCACACCAAGAAGCACCCAGGTCTTCTTTCACTGCAGAAAACCAATATGGTAATTTGCATTTGCTATGAATGTGTGTTGCTAACATTTCCTTTCTTGGAGATGAAAATATAAGGAAATAGTTGCTGAATAGTGTTAAAAGTGCTTGGCCGATGCCAAAGGAAACCCAATGGGGTTCATTTATGAGTTCTAGAAGAGAGATCCTTGTTCATTTGTATCTAACTGATAAGTATTGTGGCTACAAGTTACTATGTGGCAGTTTGTGCTGTCTTTTTCCTTGCAACCGCCTGCCTTTTGTAATCCGTTGGATCTATAAGGCTCAATTCAGTGATTTAGGGCTTCTAATAGTGCTCGGTCAAATATAATCTTGCATATCCTTTTTTTTGTGATTGTCTTACCTCACAGCTAAAAAAAGTAAGCCTGGAAATTCTACGTCAGTTGCAAAGGGATCTGCGCAAACTTTTACTATTGATTATTTTGAGACATTTACTCCAATTGCTCAACAAATTTTCTATTCGAGAGATCATATCTGGAGCAGTTATTTTGTGGCCTTTCAAGTCTGTGAGAACATGTAATAAAGGATTATAGTGGCTTGCACACTTCAACAGACGTGTGTATGTTGGTTGGCTGAGCTAGGGTTAGAGGGTCTATGGCCTTGGTCACGTCAAAAACCCTTACCTTAGGCAAGTGGCACTGCCAAGAAGGGTTTCCAAAAGGGCATACTTTATTGAAGTCGAAGAGATGCCCAGCAATGGGTTGTAGGCCAGAAGAGTTTCGTGGTTTCCTGTGTGCGGATGTGGGCTTGTGAGAGCCAAGGCTAAATTCTCAAAAAATCTTCTCATGACATGTACACATGACAGTCGCATACCACAAAGCAACCTTACAAAGGGATATGTGTATATTTGCATAGAGAGAGTCCCTCCTGCACTATAGTGATATGGGTACGTGACTTGCTCTTAAGGGAGGAAACTTATAATCCACAATAAAGGACTATGGATTCGCTATTTATAAGCCAGTTTTGATGAGACAATCATGAGGCCCTACATAAAACTATGGGTCAAGAGTCTTATTGGGTTAGTTTGAGAAGTGGGTCAAGTCGAGTGCCCTAATAGTCACTTTTAGTGATCCGTTGGTATCAATGCACTTCTAGAAATTTTATTTTCTGTCTAAGAAATGTTTCTGTAATTTTTTTAAAAAAAAAAATAGGAATTTTAAAATCTTTTTCCAAATGTGAAAACCCTTAAAGGGTATTTTAGAAATTTATGGAATTAAAGGGGCTAGGAGGAACATGTAGGCGATGTAAGGACCCGAACTTTTCCAGTAGAGGAGCCGTCGTGCTTGCAAGGAGGATGCCATCGTGCACGCATGAGGAGCTGACGTGTGTGCAGGAAGGATGTCGTCGTGCGTGCATGAAGATGCCGCCGTGCGTGCAAGGAAGATGTCGTCGTGCGCGATGAAGAGAGAGAATGCCGTTGTGCACGATGAAGAGAGAGAATGTCGCCAAGCGCATTTCACTGTCGTGCGCAACTTGGATGAAGAAGACACCGCAGAGTGCAATGCTGCCGAGCGCAGATGGTCATCACCGCCGAGCACAGATAGTTGATGCCGTCAAGCGCAGATGGTCATCACCATCGAATGCAGATTAGTTAATGTCGTCGAGCACGATGCCGCCGAACACAATGCCGCCGAGCGCAGATGGTCATCACCGCCGAGCACAGATAGTTGATACCGCAGAGAGCAGAGGGTCGTTGCCGCCGAGTGCGAATGCGTGTGTGGGCTGCCTTGCGCAAATGAGGATGTAAGCCGTCGTGCATGTGAGCCGTTGTGCACAATTGAATAGGGTAGTCCAAGGGACTTCTTCTTTTCCCTCTTGATTATTTGCTCTCCCCCTTGTTTACCACTTGTCACTATCTACCACCACTTGTCACTTACTGCCACCACTTGTCACTTGTGTGCTGCCACTTGTCAATGTTGCCCCTTCCTCTTTGCTTATAAGTAACCCCCCTTCACACACCTCTCAAAGGTTTTGCTCTCTCTCACCCACGTTCTCCCTCTCTATACTTAGAGCCTTAAGCTTGAAACCACTTTTGGAAGCTTGGCTGTGTGAAGGGAAGCTTGGAGTCTTTGGTGCATTTAAGTGGATTCAGCTTTCATGCTTTCATGTTTTGTAGAAATATGCATTCTTAGTTTATCCAAGTATGAAGTTAAGTATGATTCTAGATGTGATTTTGAAAATGAGAATGGGAGTTCAAAGTATGAGATTTAAGCATGGTTATAGGTATGATTTTGAATATGAATGTGGCTGCATGTTATTGAAATTATGCTAGAATGTGCCCTGTTTTTCCAGAAGTGTGACTCTTATTTGTGTGATAAATTGAGTATTGAAGACATCTCTGTTGGTTATGAAATTTCGTCGGACAGTACCCCTGTGAATCTTTTTTAAGATGGAAAAGACCTTGTGTTGATTCCTATTTTTGTTTGGAAGTTATTAGTCATTTTCTGTAAACTCTGTAATGAAATTCCAGGAACTTTACATGTTTTTGTATAATAATGTTCACTGATCAAATGGTATCCAAATGAGTCTAACCCACGTTTAAATGAAACATGTGTGAGTTACTTAAAAAATGGTTTTGGAACCATGCCGAAATTCTCTGTGGTTTGGCAAGTATGCCCCTTTCTCTATGAATAAGTCACTGTTGTGAATGTAGAAATTTCAAGAACTGTTACATGTTTTTGTATTGTATTGTTTACTGACCAAATCATGTCCAAATGAGCCCAAATCACTTTTAAATGAAATATTAGTGAGTCTATTTCAAAAATGGTTTTTTAACCATGCTAAAATTCTTTATGGTTTGGACATGATACTCCTTTTTCTATAAAGATGTCACTGTTGTGAATGCAGAAATTTCAAGAACTGTTACATGTTTTTGTATGGCACTGTTTACTGACCAAATCATGTACAAATGATCCCAAATCACTTTTAAATGATATATTAGTGAGTCTACTTCAAAAATGGTTTTGTAACCATGCCGAAATTCTTTATGGTTTGAAAATTATACTCCTTTTTCTATGAAGATGTCACTGCTGTGAATGCAGAAATTTCCAAAACTGTTACATGTTGTTGTATTGTACTATTTACTGACCAAATCATGTCCAAATGAGCCCAAATCACTTTTAAATGAAATATTACTGAGTCTACTTCAAAAATGGTTTTGGAACCATGCCGAAACTCTTTGTAGTTTGAAAATTATATCCCTTTTTCTATGAAGGTGTCACTGTTGTGATTGCAAGAAATTTCCAAAACTGTTGCATGTTTTGTAATGAACTGTTTACTGACCAAATCAAGTGATAAGTGTCATGTGATAAGTGCCATGTGATAAGTGATAAGTGTTATGTAATAAGTGTCATGTGCTAAGTGTTATGTGATAAGTGCCATGTGACAAGTGCCATGTGATATGTGCTACATGATATGTTCCATGTGATAAGTGTTATGTGATAAGTGTCATGTGACAAGTGCCATGATAAGTGCTATGTGATAAGTGCCATGTGATAAGTGTTATGTGATAAGTGCCATGTGATAAGTGTTATGTGATAAGTGCCATGTGATAAGTGTTATGTGATAAGTGCCATGTGACAAGTGCCATGTGATAAGTGTTAGGTGATAAGTGCCATGTGATAAGTGTCATGTGATAAGTGCCATGTGATAAGTGCCAATTGCTAAATCTTATGTGATAAGAGCTATGTGATATGACCTATGCGGTCAGCCATGT